AGCACCTTTCAGTGCCACTATGCTTGCTCTTCCGCCAGTGCATGACGTCGGGGACACAACCACAGTCTTGGAAAGTGGCAAGTGTCGTCCCAGTCCATAAGAAACGGTCAAAGTCAGCCCCATCGAACTATCGGCCCATTTCCCTCCTGTCGCTCATCTCCAAGACAATGGAAGCAGTTGTTAACCGTGCTCTCACCAACTTTCTCGAACGAAATAATATACTCTCAAACCACCAGTTCGGTTTTCGTCGAGGGTTAGGACCTGCTGATCTCCTAACAGGACTACACCACCAATGGAGCAAGATAGCAGCTGCTGGCGGTGCTGTACGTATTGTTGCCGTCGACATTGCGGGGGCCTTCGATAAAGTCTCCCACGCAGGTGTCCTTCACAAGGCAAAGGCTTACGGAGTGTCCGGGAACCTCCTCAAGTGGCTCCACAGCTACCTGGCGGATAGACGAATCCAGGCCGTTGTGAGTGGACAAACCTCACCTAAATTCCGAATCAGCTCAGGTGTGCCGCAAGGGAGCATACTGGGCCCCACTCTGTTCCTCCTATATGTCAATGACATGGAGGACCACCTCCCAGCCACAACCCAGCTCGCCATATATGCAGATGACACCACGCTTTATCAGTGCATCCCATCCCTGACCGCTCTCCCAGTTGGCCTAGCGCAGCTCCAGACTGCTGTGGATGCCTTAGCTGAATGGGGCCAGAGCTGGAAGATCGCATTCGAGCCGACAAAGTCGCAAGTCTTGACAATTTCGCATCACCGTCAACCCTGGCCGATTCCTCCAGCCACTTTCAATGGGGTGGCCATAGAGGAAGTGGAGGAGCTGAAGTTGCTCGGAGTGCTCTTTGATCGGAGCCTCTCCTTTCGCTCCCACATTCGACAGGTTGCAGTCCGTGGTCACCAACGTCTTGGCTTCATGAGGAAGGCCCTGCCCATTCTCGACAGCAAGGCCAAGTATGCAGTGTATCGCGGCTTCGTCCGCCCAGTACTTGAGTACTGCCCGCTTTCATGGTTGGGTGCGTCCCAGTCTACCCTGAACCAGCTGGACCGGGTACAGCACCGAGCCCTAAAGCTCATCGGCCCAGGGTCATACCTCCCAAGCCTCACTGTTCGGCGTCAAGTCGCAGCACTCACATTCCTGTACAAGCTGCATTGGATCGACGGTCCCCCAATCCTGACCACCATGACACCACCGAGGGCAGTTGCAAACCAGCACCGGCGCTCCACTCGCCACCAGCAAAAGAACCAGCACCAGCACCAACTAGCACCGACACTGCCCGCCGGAGCCCGTAATAGTGCTCTCCGATCATTCCCCCATGCCACGATCCAAGACTGGAATCGTCTCCCATCTGCCCTGCTACGCAACCTTCCCACGCAGAAGGGAATGCAGGCATTCAAGGAAGGCGCCTACAAGTCGCTCCGCAGCCGAGACTGGCGTTCAGCCACAGATGCCCTCTGAACACTCCCTGAACACCCTCTCTGCTTGCACCCTGGCTCCCCCCTTTTTTATTTTTTTTATTTTTTATTATTTTATTTATTTTTTTATTTTTATTTTTTATTTTTTATTTTCTTCCTCTATCACATGTATCATCTTTCCGTTTTTCCTTCCTCTATATAAACGTACCCCCCCCCCCTCCCCTCCCCCTGTGCCTACTCCTCCCCAGTTTTTGGTGCTCTGAAGTGTCGCTGAAGCCGAGACCTCAGGTCGGCGGAGATGCTCCAGTTTTCACCACCACAGTTGCGTCTGCAACCACCTCTACCATGCAGTATTCTGTTCTCGAGGTTCGTGGTTTCTCGTAAAAAAAAAAAAAAAAAAAACCATATTTCAGGAGTTCAGCCGCAATGCCATTCGGGCCACATGCTCTACCATTGTTTAGTTTCTTGAAGCTATCTCGGAGCTCGGAAGTTGTGATAGGCCGATCGAGTGGTCTAGGCTCACCGATGAAGGGCTCCATGGCTGAAGCATGTTCATTTGTAAACTGGCGTTGGAAATGTTCTTTAACGATAGCTACTGCTTCCTGGGCTCTGCCGACCAGTTTGCCGTGTTGATCCTGCACTACTGGGGTCACTGCCGGCCGCCTCCGCATTGTGGCAACTGCCTTGAACATTTGTGCGCCGTTCTTCAGTTTCTCTACTTCCTTAGCCTTCAGGTCCAGTTCTGCCTCAGCACGGTCTAGGCACAGCTTCCGCACCTTGTGTTGAATTCGGTTACGTTTGGTTTTGAGGGATTTTCTCTTCTTGTCGTCAGTGACAAATGTCAGCTGTATGCGCAGCTGCCTCTGCTCCTTCGATAGGGCTTCCAGTTCTGCATCATCGTATTTTTGGTGTTTTTTTCTCTTGGCGTATCCCACAGTTGTTGCTGCTGCACTGTGAATGTGTTTTTGAATAGCGTTCCAGTTCTCCTGCACGTCGTCTCCTGCCTCCCCAGTAGGCTCTGCAAGTGAATCTGATAGCTTCTTTGCATAGGCGAGCTGTACTTCTTTCTCTGATGCCAGGCGTAGTGTATTGACACTGGGCTGTCTGCTTATGCTCCGTTTGCGCGTCTGGCTGCCCAAGACACCATATACTCTCGGTATCTCTAGGTTTGCGATTACAATTATATGATCTGAGTAAGTATTCATCCCGCCGTAGCTCCTGCAGTTCTTCAAGAGACGTTTCTGTGACTCACGGCAAATAATATAATCAATCTGATTGTACACAGGGACTTTTTGGTCTGCTGCTTTGTCTCTCCTCCAGCCAGTCCAGGTCGTAATATTCCTGGCAGGATGCTTGAACGTAGTATTTGCCAGGTAGAGGTGACTAGTTTCACAGAAGTTGACCAATGTGTCCCCAGTGAAATTTCGTCTGCCTCTACCATGGGATCCCAAACAGTTCGCATTTCTGCGGCCACTGCCAACTTTCGCGTTGAAATCGCCACAAATGTACAGTAGGGCACTGCTGCTGACCTCTGAGTACGCCTTAGCCAAGTCGTCGTAGAATCTATCCATCTCAGCGACATTTGACGCACATCTCGTCGATGTCGGTGCGTATGCGTTGATAATAGCCAGGAATGGCCTTCCCGAGGCGACGTTCTGTCCCTGGTGTACAGACACTAGAGCTGAGGGGCTACTGGAGAGCGTAAGGACTGCGACACGGTCCGATACTGCCCAGTACCGATGAATTTCAAGGCGACTCGAGACAGCGAATCCGAGGCCATAGTGATAGTTTTTCGTTGGAAAACAGATGAGACGGTGTCCAAGGATGGATTCGTCTAGTCCGTCTGTAACTTTTGTTTCCTGTAGAGAGCACACGTCCACTGCGCACCTCGCCAAGTCTCTGGTCAGAGTAGTTCTCTTCAGTGACGACTTCAGGCCGAGGACGTTGAACGTGGCAATGTTGAGGTTTGAAGAATATTTTTTGAATTTTCCTGAGCCGAGTGTCTTAGCTGTTCCTCGCTCCGACGACTGGGCCGGCGTGTGCCGCTCCCGGTCCGTCGGACGTCTTGCCATTTATCGTCGCTCATTATCCCGAGTCCATTCAATAAATACTAAGCTCTTCCTCACAAGAAGGAAGAGAGGAGAAACATAACTTTCCCCAGCCAAACAACGAAGCCTAGAGGAAGAAAATCACCCTCTCCACTTCACCATCACGATACTGACATAGATACGAGATGAAACAACTAAAAAATTCACAAGAAAACTGTACGACCATCATCGCGCTGACTTTGGTCTGACTTTGGTCTGAGAATTTCTATCACGATCAAAAATGTACGAGGAGCACTCAAAAATCAGCCACAGACGTACCTTTATCGCTCTCTACTCCTTTTTCAAGGCACAAAAGTCGACTCTCCACTTTCAAACCAGGAACCAGACATACCAGTGGTCCTTTTCAGCTGCTCCACGAGCGCAGGAAATGTTCACCAAGGGGCGCAGAGCAGCATCCATTTCAGAAAAATAGCTAAAATACGAGTGAGACTGCATGCCTGAGTATATGAGTACATGCAGAAAATAGTCAATTTCAGCGTTTCTGCTCCAAACAGCAACCAGCTTCGACTAGAAACAAAGATTACACCAAAGGATCAAACAACAACGATTTTCTGCAGTTTTTTTGCAGTTGGCTTCCTTGTGCTTGGCCCAGCACGCCAAAAATCACACCTCGGAGGAGTACAAAAATTACAACTCTCAGATGTCCTTGATTGCTGGCCATGATCTGATCACTTTTCTTCGACATTTTTGTTCCATTTTTTCAAATTCGAAATTCGTAGGTACGTCGCAGATTATTTCGGGCCGCTGCTTGTTGCAAGAGCGGGGAGAGAAAGCGTCCACACATATAGAGTCCCAAAGGAGGTACTCACAGCGTCTGAAACGCTGGCAGGTGTCCGGCCACCCCATGCCCAAATATGGGCCGGCCAAATTTGGGTACACAATTGCACCCTGGTAGAGAGAGTGGACCCTGCTTTGTGTGCCAGGAGACACCACGTGATGCGAGATATACCCACCCAGCCTCAGTTGAAAACTGGGATAACACCAAACATCCAGGTATTAAACCAGATGCATGCATATGCAAGAAATGCATGAAGCGTTTGAAGGCACAGGCTGCACAGCAACACCAACAGCCACAAGCAACAACCACTACAGAAGCAGCAACAGCAGCAGCGTCACGATCTACAGAGCCAGCAGAAATAGCAAGCACGGAAGCCACGAAGTTACAGTCATCACCCACACCAGATCAGCATGGACAGGGAAATGCGGTGCAAGTATGTTCAGTTGCCGGCTGCGACTTGCCACGGCATGCAGCAGTGTCGATGACAGCTGCTGAACTACAGGCTGCGCTACAAGAAAAGATACCAGACATGTCAACTCTGTGCCTATGTAACAAGCACAACATGCAGCTGCATGATATGGCCCGCCCACATGTGCCATGTGCAGCACACGCATCGTGGGCACGAAACGCAAATGCCCCAATGTAGGTGCTCTCCAGAACCAGCTGAATGTTGCGCATGGCATCAGTATAAGTGGCGATAGCACCCTGTGCCTTACATGCTACAAGGTACAGCTGGAGCTGGTAGATGCTGATGGAGAGAGTCGGAGCACAGACCAACAGCTCCAGGTGCTCCTCCAATCTCTGCGAAAGGAGACGCCATCGGCATCGAGGTGTGAAGCAGCTCTCATCTCAACGGCCGTATTCGTCGGGCAGACATTGTTCGAGAATAGGGCCCTTCTGCTCGCCACAGCTGCTGATCATCACTCAGCCCTAACTGATGGTGAGGCTGAGATGAACAATCGGTGGCTGCTATCCAGCCTACAGGCAAAGCTAGGCACGCATCTGCAGCACGGGTCATTTGGAGGGCGGAAGCAGGGCACACTGCTGTACCGAACTGGTTGTGACATGGCCTCGTGCTTATTCAAGTCCCTGGCCACTGCACGAGCTGAGACCCTGAAAAACGGCAGAACGCAGCAGAATGCAGAAGAATTATGCAGCAAAACAACATTTTCCAGTACAACAGATGCACTCGAGTCCGTGCCCAGACTGCACGACCTCATGAAGGAGCAGGCAGCACGCTTTAAGCATCGGGAGCACGCTGATCCCACCTCCCTATCGGCAATGCAGCTAGAAGCAGTGATCACTGAAATAAACCCCGGTCTTTGGCGAAATGTGTGGCTGATGGTTTATGGTAATGAGGAAGGCGGCAAGCAAAACTGCCCAGCCAAATCCCCCTACCAACACGTCAAGCGCGTCCGTTGCCTGTTCATACTGTCCTGCATGATGCATGCAGCTGTGCCATCCTGCACGTTCCCCTTTCACTTAGCTCTATCTGACTTTGTTGAAGCACACAGCAAGTCGACAGAGCTCATGCGAGTCCTATCAAGGGTTGGTGCTACAGCAGGAATTGATACCTACAAGCGCTATCAGAAGACCATCATAGATAAGAACTCTGAGGCAGGGGTAAATGCCAACATCCCCTTTGCTAAGTTCTCCATCGCAACCATTGACAACATTGACAAGAACGAGCCTGGCAAGCGGATGTACTGTGGTGATCAGTCTAGGGGCTTCTATGGTACTTCCATTCAGAGTGTCACCCCAAAGCCCCTAACTGGAGATATTACCTGCTGTAGCAACGAACGCCCAGCACCCCATCAAGGGTTCCATTGTTTTTCACAGCATGCCGAGCCACTTGCTAAGCGAGGCAGGTCACGTTCAAGAACGGCAGTTGAGCAGAAAAACCCAGCTAAAGTCCATCAAGGCATGCCTTGCCTACCTGAGACACAGTGTGACGACGCGCTCCAGTGTGTTCAAGAATCAGCCGTAATTGGTGATTGTGACCAGTCCACATCGTGTTCTGCAGGAAACACAGAGAACCCAGAGGACACAGCAGCAGTCTCTTATCACCAGGAAACCACTGCGCCTGCAGAATTGCCAATAATTAACCTACAGCCGCCAGTGACAATCACCGTGAACCCAACTAGTTCCCCACCCGATATTCTACCGCCAGCAATGAGCGCAAAATGGTTCAACCGCAACAAGCTGACCATGGAAGCCTTTATACCCACAAATGAGGATACCGGCGTTTTACGATCCTTCAGCAAACTACACCATGAGTTCCTTGCAACAGATGGCCACACTTCACTCAAGGGCCATTTCAAATCGACTTTCCCCTCGAGGCCTGAGCAGTCGAAGGTTCTCTACCTGGGTGTGACTAGTGATCCTGCTGACAGCAAGGACACAATGCTGAATGCTCTGCGCTGCCTGCAAGCATTGTATGGTGTTGGGCGCATGCTTACTCACCTCGTTGTTGTGGGTGATGGAAAGACGTATGATCACCTCCTCTCGCTCATAAGAGAGTACGGAGACGAACTAGCATGGCTGGTTCCATTTCCAGGAGATTGGCACCTTCTCAAGGCAATACATCCCGTGCTGATGAGAGTCTACTGGGATGCAGGCTTGAAATCTATGGCAGTGGCAATGGGGTGTCGCGGAGATCTCCTGTCGGTGTTGGAAAAAGCCACCAACTTTCGCAAGTGCCATGAGTTTCTGCTACTTGCTCATGAAGCCATTGGTCGCACAATGCTCCAGAGGTGTGGCAACCCATCGGCTACATATGACCAACTGCAAGAATTCGCCACAGCAATGGCTGAACGTGATGACACCTGGCGATTCTGGGTTGATTTCTATTTCCAGCACATGACATCATACATTGGTTTATGGGTAGCGGTGCGTACTGGAAACTGGGATCTACGAGTAGCTGCAATCAAAGCTGCAGCCCCTTTGTTTCACGCTTTTGACAGAACATACTACTTGCGTCTACTTCCCCACCATCTGGCCCACGTTGCATCCATGCCAGGGGAAATCAAGGCACAGTTCCAGTCTGGGTCATTCTCCGTCAGCCTGTCAAGCAATGCATTCAGCTCAGTTGGACTTGATGAATGCCACGAGATGTGCATCAACAAAGACCTTAAAGCTGCAATTGTTCACCCGCGACCCGAGTACATTGATCGACTCGCACCGTATCTGCCACATCGTGGGCACGTGCTTCACAACTTCCAAGATGAGCTGTTCCCTGAATTTGCACAAGAAGACAGAAACAGGAGAGACCATAGTGCTGCAGCAGTCACCAAGCAACAGAAGGAGAGGTTGGAGAACTTGAAATCAATAATGGCTATCATGGAGAAGCACGATTGTTGTACTGCTCAATGGAATTTCGGGCCGCACCTTGTTGCATAGTCCGATCACATCCAATTTCACACTGGTAGAACCCAAGAGAATAACCAACAACTTACAATCGTAGCAATTGGTGTCCGTGACCGATGTCCACCTCTGCATGCCCTAGAAGTTGAGCGTGCACGAAATACGAAAAAGGACGACGTCGAGGAAACCTCTCCTGATGGATCCCAAATCAACACAGCTAGTCTCAGTGGAAGGCATAGTACTAAGAAGAGAGTGGGGACGTGCCAGTAAACTAGTTTACAACAGCTACTTCATCCACGAAAAGCTGATATAGTCCATGATGGTTCACAAAATACCAAGAAAAACAATGGACCGTATGCGTGTTAAAACAAAATGGCGTCACGATTTATTGAAAGTGGTATAGTTGGTGGTACGAGTGTTCAAACCCATTTGAACTTCATACTGTTCGTCTTCTTTTTGACATGCTCTCTTTCCATCGTCCTTAGCTTTTGTTTGTTGAGAGCTGTTTTGGCTTTCTCCTATACCTCTGGGGGATGCCAAGTGATGGTTTTGAGAGGCTGGTGATGGCTGTGAGCGAGAGTTTGCCGATCGGCGTCGTCCTCGCTATAGCGATGAAAATACTAGTTACTGCGCACCTGGCAGATATCACAACACATCGGAGCGTCCAGGAGCAAAGGAATCTTGGGTTTTCACTGGAATCTAGTTCCTCCAGTATCGTGTAGCCCACCGTCGGTGAATGGCGGTCCAGAAAGGTCGAACCTGGTCTTCTGCAGCATCTCGCAGTCCTGCGAGGCACACTGAATACGCCTGTCATGTATTCTACAAATATAAATCACGAAGTAGTGGACTTTACAGGGATGAGTCTATCCTGTATGCTGCAAAAGACGCAGGAAATGTGACTGGTGTCCATACACTGGACGCCAATATCATCCCAGTCTTCTCCTGCAGGATCTGTTTGACATTGACATACCGGTATGCAGTGGGTCGACATTGGCCTGGTTTGGCAGCTATCTGCCTGGGTGGATGTAGCAGGTTTGCATTGGCGCTTCGTCCAGTCCGACATTTTCTTGTAACTGTGGAGTACCGGCAGGGTTTGAGAGGTTGCTCGTGCTGTGAACACATCTCTACCGCCTGTCTCGTCCTGGAAGTGCCGTCTCGCCGCTTCCTTGCTCTACAGTCACGCCGTTATTTCGCTTTGTTTCGTGGTGCAGCTCAAAACCTGCCCAAACAACTGTGAGCTCGCAACATGGTATGGACAAATTGCACCACTCATGCTGGTTAACTAAAACCGGGATAGTCGAGTAAGCGAGTTCACTCCCTGGGCCATGGCAAGATCTGTTCAGCGCGGGCTATTCCAACCTCCAAGTGCATAGTCACCGATCGATCCATGCGATGGTGGTTGACCTACAAAGAGCCAAGGTCTACGAGTACTACTATTGGATGCTGTCTACATGCAGTCAACAAAATCAAAGTACCTCAGTATGCTCCAGAATAGGGCATGTGCATCTATAGCATGACACAACAGGGGTTCTGGCGGCACCTGTCAAACAAGCAGTAGCGACTAGTGCCAGCTACCTATTGGAGGCTAGCCGCTACAGTCTGTCACTGGAGATAATTATTATGTTCACTGTTTAGACTGAGCACAATCAATGATGCCCAATCAATCTGCCCAATGTGTGTTCTGTTCCACCTAATTATAACGTCCCATCGCATCAACCCTACTACACGCACATGTCGTCACTCTAGCACGACTTGTGTTATTATTGTTTATTTTGATTCGCACGATAAGTAGAGTACAATAAACGTTAACTTGACCGAAGGCTAAAGGCGACTGCAGATAGAGGAACACATCGAGGTACAGGTACCGGCATCAATACAGTATCAGAGAGAAACAAACAAAAATGAGAGGTACGCAGAAAAAACTCTCGTAAGCCCAAGGGGAAGTGGTTGATGAGGGATGAATGCACTCTCCACGCTCATCTACACTGTTCGTGGAAATGCACACATACATACAATAGTATACAACATAGCAATAGCATGCACAGAACCGAACAATTTCATGTTCACACATGCAAGCACAGACCTGAACATTAGTACCAAAAGCCGATACAGACAATATCCCCATACACACAGACGCACACACACACACACACACACACACACACACACACACACACACACACACACACACACACACAATGTCCCATGTATGCGCCCGTGGCGAGAAAAGCACGCAAATCTACAAATGCACTGGATGTGAACCCACAGATTTTCTCTTATAGCAACGATAGCGGATCTGATTCTGAATGAAACGCACACACAATACAATCATTGAATGCTTATCCGCAGATGATGGCAGGTCCTGAAAGAACAGGCAGTGTTCCAGTGATGGGGAACAGAACTTCGAGTGGCGAGTGAGGTATACACACACACACGTGCGTGCGCGGGCACACACTAAAGTATTCAGAAATAGAATCGACATCGTAGTATTCATTGGTTGGGGAATGGAAAGGAAAATAAAACATTGCTGTAGGTTATTGTTGTAAGGACACTGGGAGCACAACAGAAAGGTAAGCAACTTGCTTTGAAGCAAAGAAAGTTATTATTCCACGGATCTCAGAAGGAAGGAACGTTCCAGAATGCTGGACTGGCAACAGGCGGCCTGCATGTACGCGGCCCCTGCAGTCGGTCCAGCTGCCGGCCTTGCAGTGCTGAAAAGAATTTGCAGTACAGCATGTCACATAGTATCGCAGCCTGGACAAATAGGCGCTGGGAAGTCCTAGTTATGTGCTCACCTACACCACGATGCACCAATCTTCTGAGCTACTTTGGCAACAACTTTGTCCACTTGAGACTCCCATGGGCTGAGCCAGTTGTTGAGGGCTGCATCAAGGTGGACGGCAATGACCGCTGATGGCAAGGTAATCCATGACACACAGTCACTAGGGCATTGTCAACATGGCGCTGAGGCTGGATCGATAAAATCAACCTTTAGGCTGCCGCGGGGTTGACAACGAGGCCGCTGTCTCGAAGCTAGTCAGTCAGCCTGGTCACCGCCATTGACGAACCAGTCACCACCGCCAGCAGTGGCGGTAGGTTGTGACAAGTGTGGTGCAATATTGTCAGCAAATTCAGTACTCAGGATAAGATGAGTGACAAAGGGAACGTTGTGTTTGATAATATTGAAGTGAACAGGGATGATCACAAACCCTGCGCGTACTCCACCGTGAGTTACAAGAAAATTCCGGACTGGACGACGAGCAAACATCAACCTGCTACATCCAACCAGGCAGATACTATTACGATAGCTGCCAAACCAGGTCAATGCCGACCTACTGCATAATGTCAATGTCAAACAGATCCTGCAGGAGAAGACTGGGGTGTTGGCGTCCAGTCACTGAGTGTACAGACACCAGTCACATTTCCTGCGTCTTTTGCAGCATACAGGATAGACTCATCACTGTAAAGTCCACTACTTCGTGATTTATATTTGTAGAATACATGACAGGCGTATTCAGTGTGCCTCGCAGGACTGCGAGATGCTGCAGAAGACCAGGTTCGACCTTTCTGGACCGCCATTCACCGACGGTGGGCTACACGATGCTGGAGGAACTAGATTCCAGTGAAAACCCAAGATTCCTTTGCTCCTGGACGCTCCGATGTGTTGTGATATCTGCCAGGTGCGCAGTAACTAGTATTTTCATCGCTATAGCGAGGACGACGCCGATCGGCAAACTCTCGCTCACAGCCATCACCAGCCTCTCAAAACCATCACTTGGCATCCCCCAGAGGTATAGGAGAAAGCCAAAACAGCTCTCAACAAACAAAAGCTAAGGACGATGGAAAGAGAGCATGTCAAAAAGAAGACGAACAGTATGAAGTTCAAATGGGTTTGAACACTCGTACCACCAACTATACCACTTTCAATAAATCGTGACGCCATTTTGTTTTAACATGAATATCGCGGATTGGGTCGGCGTCGTCGTTTTCACCTCATTTTTTTCCCGCGGTTGCAAATAAAATCGGCCTCATCAGCGACTTGGCGCATCGACTGACATTGTGATCTTGCATTTGAAAGCCCTATTTGAATATGCATTGTGGCCAGCCGTCTTTGATGGCACGGTACGGTAGGGGATAGGTACGGGACAGGTACGATCGAGGGTAATACGTGTGGTCTGTTTTGAAATGTTGACGTAGGTACGCGTTTCTCGAGCTCCGTAGTTTTCAGTGGATTTTCCGACTTCAACGTGCCTCTCCCGCAAACCAGCCGATGCAGGGTGCCACTTGTTGCCGGTGCAACGGCAACGGCACCTGCGTTCGGTGCGAATGCATGAAGGAGGGCCGAGAGTGTCGGAATTGTCTCCCTTCGAAGAAGAACAAGTGCCGAAACAGCTCCCCGACTTCCCAACCGTCTTCTCAACCAACGGCCACAGCTACCGTATCCGCTGTTGGTGATACGGTGCCGGACCATACTATCAGCAGGACGTCGATGATCTCCGACAACAGAGCAACCACAGCTACGACACTAGACTCCGTACCCGTACCAAATGTCTCGAATGTGCACAAGCCAGCACTGGCAACAGTCACCGAGAGTGCAGCCGCAGTACTCACCACCACCCTACTTGCAGAGTGCAGAGACGGTCACGGACCACCTCGCACAGCCCGGTCGAGCTCGTCTCCCGGTACCCGCACTGGCAGTAGCTCCGTAGTACCCGTACATGTACAGGTGCCGAACTCGCCTGACACCAATGACAGTGCTGATGTCGATGTCGAACCTGCCAGCCAAGTGCGTGAGCCAGCGGACGTGGAGTGTGCCGATGGT